GCAAAAAGTGATGTGGCAATCTATTAAAGAGAATGAGAAAGCACAGAACTGGAGGGAGAGAGAAAGCAGAATCCACCAGGAAAACACAGAGAACCGGCGGCAAAGCACAGAGCACTGGCAGCAAAGCACGGATCGGCTCATAAGCATCCTGGAGCGTCAAGCAGACTCTATCCAGGAGCTCGTAGCCATGCAGAAGGAGCAGTGCCGGAAATGCAAACGCCACCCCCCCCATTAAGCCCTTGTCTCAAAACTCTTTCCGTTGTGCCCCACTGTCACCTCAAACCGACTTTCCCCAACTTCCTTGTTCTTCACGCCACCAGCTGCCACCAACACCAATATCTTCACCACCCAGCCCTGAAAACCACGACCCTTACCCTCTGCACTCAACCCCCATCACCATGCTGTATAGCTGTCCTGAAGTGCAGCACTCACTGCACAGCACAGCAGACAGGACATCCAAAAGTTCTGCAGCCACTGCTCGTCATCCCAGACTTCCATGACAATGTGATCCCACCACTCGGTGCTTGTCTTCCAAGCCCAAAAGCGGCGTTCCACGGTGCTGAGCATGTCCGTGAATGCCACAAGCAATTTCGTGTTGTATGCGTTACGAGGCTCGAAAGCATCGTCGGACTCCTCACCCTCACCCTCACTTTCGATCTTAAGGAATTGTTCGACAGCCAAACGTGATGTGCTGGCGAGATAAGTCAGCATACGCCTCAGCAGTTTGGGCTCCATTTCTCGCAAGGAGATAGTGCTGCACAGAAACCGTTGAAAGTTGGCGCCAAAGGTGCGGAAACAAAGGGATTTCTGGGATGCGAAGCGATGCATCACGGGGCATTGGGACAGGACCCAGAATGTCCCACACCCACGCCCCCTTCCCACAACCCACGGCACCAGAATGGGAAGAGGTGCTCTGTGGGATAGCTGCCCATAATGCACTGCTCCCAGTGGCGCAGCAAATGCTGCAAATGTGGCCACGACAGTGCGCTGGGCAGCTGTCAGTGTGGACAGACTGCAGCGCTTTCCCTACTCAACTGCACGAAGTCAGGTTTAACTCACAGCGCTGCACAGCTGCAAGTGTAGCCAAGCCCTACGCCAAAATCAAAGTCAGTGGAGTTGAGGATGTCGGCTGGTTCCCCTTCTCTGGTCTGCCCTGCGTAACTTGCCTTTCAGGATCAGGATGATGAAAGCCCAAGGGTGCCATGCTGGGTCCCAGGAGACAGCAGGTGTGAGACGTACCCCAGACTACAATCTGGACTGTTGAACTGCTTAATTCTCCATCCCAGGGCATGGTTTACACTGTTTCCCAGGGTGAATAAAAGTCAATGTGTTTTTTTTTTTTAAATCAAGAAAATCAGATTTTTGTTATTTAAATCGATTATTTTGATAATTTTTCCCTTAAAAACCATTTTATCTACAGATAGTTTTAATTAAGATACATTATAGCTCAAAGATCTCTCATCATGGAATAGGGATTATACATTCCAATTCTACAGTATGAGACAATATAGTCATGTCATGTTTAAGAAAAGTTTTGTAAATGAGTTAATCTAGTTCATGCATTAAGGATCCAGTCTTATGGGGTTCCACAGGCTTCTGTATAGATTACTTAAGTTAATCTTTCTAGCTACCCAATGGGACTCAGTGCTCAGTCTAGAAGATACCATCAGAGATGCTTAGTTTTCCAGTTCTCAAACTGTGGTTTTGTGTCTCCAAAGGTAACATACTTGTTAACACCAAAAATGTTTTAAAATAAATTAATATAACAGACCTCACCTCTATTGTCCCTCTGCAAATCTGTGTACACTGAGTCAATCCCTTACCTCAGAATACTGATCGCTGTTCTTTTAGTAAAATAAAACAATTTAAATGTCTGTGTGGTGATGTTCTCCTCCTAATACAGCATGGCAAGAAAATCCTCCAACTATTAATGATTAACCTGTTGAATTGGAGATACTTCACCTCCTAATGACTTCATAAATATCTGCTTCAATTACCTTTGGTAATGAAATAACCAAACAAACATGCATTGTCTAATATAGCTGTAAAACTAATCTGAAAAGTATTCAAAATAAATCACTGTTTAAAAATGTACAGTGTGTACCTTCCAAAAATGAAACCTACATCTATCTCTGCATTGTGAAGAATATGTATTAAGGTTATAACAACCAACAAGAATACATTTTTATGTAGAAAACCATGATTAAATTGAGTCTTCCTGACTAGTGATTTAAATGAAATCCACCCTGCTGGTTCCCTGTGTGAACAACAAACCCCTCCACGCTCTGCTCACACACAGCCACCAGCCTTCAAGGTCACTCCTGGCTGCACTGCACTGAGTGCGACTAGCCAGACACTCAGGAACTTACCAATCGACACAGCAACATCAGCAAACATCAGTTTTCTACTCCCAGCCTTTCACCCCGGGAATGTGTATCTTGGACTGCTCAGTCTGTTCACTGTGATGGACAAACTCAGTAATTAGTGGGTCACCACAACAAAGGGGCCGGATTAGGCCACAGCCTTGTTCTCTCCAGTCAAATCCCCCAAACACTTCAGTGAAAACACACAGGTCCAGACAAAACACTAAAACCAGTTTAGTAACTGGAGCAAGGGGGTTTTCAGGGATTACAAAGGAGAAAGATGTAAAAGTCAGAATGGGTTAAAACTATAAAATTAAAACATGCATTTTAAATCCTAAATATTACCAAACTAAGGAAGATGTGAAGAAAACAGGATTTCCCACCCCATCCGCTGTTGCAGGCAGTTCACAGTTCTTATACCCAGCCTGGATTTCCTTCCAGCCTTGATCCACCCTCCCCAGTCCAAGGCCCCTGTTCCCTTTGAAGCCATCTTGTTCCCTTCTGCAAAGATAGGAGAGGAGAGATAAAAATGGAAGCAATTCTCCCTTGTGCTTTTGGACCACTCTCCTCTTTGAGGTTCATCCCCCAGCTGGGGGGCAGGCAACAATCAGTCTGTGGCCTAAGTGAGCGTCCAGCCGTCCTTCCGGTGAATTGTAACTCTCCTGTTCCCAGCTCCACAGCTGGTGAATGGCCGGCTGAGCAATTACTGGCCACGTAGAACCTAGCTGGTGTGCAGGTGCCATTGTCTCTGGGGAGTTCGTCTGTGGGCGTTTTCCAGCTTTACAGCATGTAACAAACATACAGCAAACTCTCAGAACTCCATGGACAGTGCTGATAGACACATTTTAATGGGACAATAATATTCGGTAGGCGATGACCTTCCCTATGATACCTCACAAGACATACTTTGGAGAAGATTTATCATTTTGTAAATGTGATGATCATGAGTGTAGACCAGTGGTTTCATTGCCCTCCCCTTCCCCTCCAATCCCTTCTTTGTGTCTGTGGTCATTTACGCCCCCACCAAAGCACATATATCACCACCCAGCTCTAAAGGCAGAGTAGTTGCTGGTGAGGCGCCCAGCTCTGAAGGCCTCCAATAGCAGCACAAAAGTTAGGGTGGCCACGTGAAAAGTGATATTCCTCCATACAGCTGTTCACAGCAGACTTATCACCCCATTGACAACCTAACTTCTGTGCTGCTGCTCCACCTGGGTTTGAGAACCTGAGCATTTATCCCCACCTCCCAGCTAGGCCTGTTCCTTCTTCATGAGCCCCAGCCAACTGGGGCCAACAGCCAGTGCTCTTTAAAAAAAAACCAAACAACCCCACTGATCACGCCTCCCTTGACACATTCCTGTGACTCCACTGGGATGTTCTGCCCACACTTTGAGAATTGCTACTGTAGAGAGTCATCGTGGGGATTGGTAGCCAAGATGGTAACACCTGCTCCTTTCCGTCTCCGGGATCCCCAGAGAAAATGTCCAAGCAGGAGAGCGGAACAGATCCGATGCATGTTAACCTTGTAAAACACATTTTGATGATTTCAGCTATAAACATTCCCTCCGTCCCTCAGCCCCTATCCCCAGTGAATTCAATGAGACTGAGCTAAAATTGGGCAGGTGGCATGGGCGATGGGTATAATCGCTGAATTATTGATCCCTGATTTAAAAGAATACAGGAACCCTTTGGATAGCTAAACATAGATTACTACACAGTTACCCCTCTTAGAATCATAGACTATCAGGGTTGGAAGGGACCTCAGGGGTCATCTATTCCAACCCTGTGCTTAAAGCAGGACTAATCCCCAACTAAATCATCCCAGATAGGGCTTTGTCAAGCCTCACCTTAAATACCTCTAAGGAAGGAGATTCCACCACCTCCCTAGGTAACCCATTCCAGTGCTTCACCACTCGCCTAGTGAAAAAGATTTTCCTAATATCCAACCTAAACTTTCCGCACTGCATCTGGTACCAATGAGAACAGTCTAGATTCATCCTCTTTGGAACCGCCTTTCAGGTAGTTGAAAGCAGCTACCAAATCCCTCCTCTTTCTTCTCTTCTGTAGACTAAACAATTCCATTTATTTCAGCCTCTTCTCATAAGTCATGTGCTCCAGACCCCTAATCATTTTTGTTACCCTCCGCTGGACTCTTTCCATTTTTTCCACATCCTTCTTGTAGTGTGGGGCCCAAAACTGAACACAATACTCCAGATGAGGCCTCACCAATGTCCAATAGAGGGGAACGATCACGTCCCTCGATCTGCTGGCAATGCCCCTACTTATACAGCCCAAAATGCCGTTAGCCTTCTTGGCAACAATGCCACACTGTTGACTTATATCCAGCTTCTCATCCACTATAAGCCCTAGGTCCTTTTCTGCAGAACTGCTGCCTAGCCATTTGGTCCCTAGTCTGTAGCAGAGAATGGGATTCTTTCATTATAAGTGCAGGACTCTCCACTTGTCCTTGTTGAACCTCATCAGATTTATTTTGGACCAATCCTCTCATTTGTCTACGTCCCTCTGTATCCTATCCTTACCCTCCAGCGCATCTACCACTCCTGCCAGTTTAGTGTCATCTGCAAACTTCTTGAGGGTGCAGTTCACGTCATCCTCCAGATCATTAATGAAGATACTGAACAAAACCGGCCCCAGGACCGACCCTTGGGGCACTTCACTTGATATCGGCTGCCAACAAGACATGGAGCCATTGATCATAACGCATTGAGCCAGACGATCTAGCCAGCTTTCTATCCACTTTATGGTCCATTCATCCACCCCATACTTCTTTGACTTGCTGGCAAGAATACTGTAGGAGATCATACCAAAAGCATTGCTAAAGTCAAGGAATAACACATCCACTGCTTTCCCTTCATTCACAGAGCCACTTATCTCATCATAGAAGGCAATTAGGTTACTCAGAAATGACATGCCTTCTTCTTCCAAGTCTTTAAAATTACACATTTACATTTCAAACTCTCGCTTATCTAAGGTGCACACATTTTTAAAATCTCTCTCTAAAAGTTGAATCTAAAAGTTGAATACAAGTTTCTTTCATGCCATGTGTCACAGAAGATTAGATCTTTTGTGGATTCTTCCATGTTTAATGAGGTCAGACCTCCGTATGAAACTTTCCCCTAAGTCCAAGCACTTGTGGGGTTTCTCTCCTGTGTGTAATGCCTGATGTTTAACAAGGTCTGACCTCTGTATGAAACTTTTCCCACAGTCCAAGCACTTGTGGGGTTTTTCTCCTGTGTGGATTGCCTGATGTTTAACAAGGTCTGACCTCTGTATGAAACTTTTCCCACAGTCCAAGCACTTGTGGGGTTTTTCTCCTGTGTGGATTGCCTGATGTTTAACAAGGTCTGACCGCTCTATGAAACTTTTCCCACAGTCCAAGCACTTGTGGGGTCTCTCTCCTGTGTGGATTGCCTTATGATGAACTAGGTGTGACCTTTGTATGAAACTTTTCCCACAGTCCAAGCACTTGTGGGGTCTTTCTCCTGTGTGAATTGCCTGATGTTCAACAAGGGTTGACTTTCTTATGAAACTTTTCCCACAGTCCAAGCACTTGTGGGGTCTTTCTCCTGTGTGAATTGCCTCATGTATAACAAGGTTTGACTTTCTTATGAAACTTTTCCCACAGTCCAAGCACTTGTGGGGTCTTTCTCCTGCGTGGATTGCCTGATGTTCAACAAGGGTTGACTTTCTTATGAAACTTTTCCCACAGTCCAAGCACTTGTGGGGTCTTTCTCCTGTGTGGATTGCCTGATGTTTAACAAGGTCTGACCTTTGTATGAAACTTTTCCCACAGTCCAAGCACTTGTGGGGTTTCTCTCCTGTGTGGATTTCCTGATGTTTAACAAGGTCTGACCTTTGTATGAAACTTTTCTCACAGTCCAAGCACTTACGTGGTCTCTCCCCTGTGTGGCTTAACTGATATCTAATTATTTGTGTCTTTGAAATTAAACATTTCCCGCACTCGAGGGATTGAGCAGGTTTCTCTCCAGTGTGGCTTGTCCCATGGTTATTAAGATCTGAGAGCTTACTGAAGCTTTCCCCATGGTCCAAGCACTGAAGGGGTTTCTCTCCAGTATGGCTTGTCCCATGGTTATTAAGATCTGAGAGCTTACTGAAGCTTTCCCCATGGTCCAAGCACTGAAGGGGTTTCTCTCCAGTATGGCTTGTCCCATGGTTATTAAGATCTGAGAGCTTACTG